TTTTTTTTTTTTTTTTTTTACGTTTTGTCCAATTTGCCAATTTTGATTTGACAGTGGGAAATGAGATTCACAGGATTCAAACTTGCTTGCTTATTTATGTGCTTATTTACTGTAGTTTTTTGGCATTTTTGCCACTTTTGATTTGACTGTGGTGAAAGGACAGCTAATTATGGGGAATGTGATTCACAGGTTTCAAAAATGTATTTAATTTATTTGCTTTATTTATTTGCTTGTGCTGTAGCAAATTATGGAAAATTAGATTATTGGGATCCTAAGTGTCTAATTTTTAAAATGGTTTGCTCTGGACTGTAGACCAGTGATGGGTTTATGGTTAATGATATGAAATAAGTAGACTTTTTAAGCAATTTTTTGTTTATTCAATTCTTTACTTGTCTGCCACAATCATGTTAATACCTTTTCATTATTTTCTTTTGGACGTTTAGCTAATCAGCTAATCTGGATGTGCTTTTAATGAATTACAATAAGCATTTCACAATAAATTATACTAGAATTCTAATCCATTGCCTTCTGGTAACAAATATCAAAAGTTCATTGGAAGGATTGCAGGTTTTCAGAAGGATTTGATTCTCTTGATGTGTGAGAGATTGTTCTTTGACAGCACGCCGACATTCCTCTGGATTTATGTCTCTCAGAGCCTGCAAATGTGCTCTCAGTTAATGAGTTACATCTTCACTGCATACCACGTATCTGCTCCACTCTGATAGCGCTCACGCCATTCGAATCCTGTTAGAGAAAGACAACACATGCAAATTCCACAGGCGTCTTTTGCAAAAGAATCGGCATGTTTGTCTTTTCTTCCTCACCTGAGCCTGATTGATTCTTTTGTAGCCTGTCAGAATCATAGACATTAATTATCAGGTGTTGATAACACATGATAAACAAAACTGTACAAAGCTTTGTTAGGCTGTTTTGTGGTTTGTTTCCTATTTGGCTCCAGGTAGTATTTCCGCTGTCATCAGAGAGTTGTGCATAAATGAGCGCAGCAGTGCACAGCAGACGTGTCTGTGATTTATATTACATTGATGGTGTTTCTTCAACGCAGCTTGAGCACTCGCTTCAAAATAAGAAATCTGCTGCAAACTTATTCCCTGTGGCTGTGTGAAAACAGCCTTTAACTCCAATTAAAGTTTGAGATGACTTGAGTGACTAGGGAAAAAAAGGTGTAAAAATTTATTTTTGAGAGCTTTCCCACTTTTAACATTTCTCACACAGCCATTGAAATAATGCAATCTGTTTAATCACAGCTGAGAGTGGTGTTTGGCAGTTCTCGTTTCAGTTTGTGACCTGTAAGAATGCTAAATGTAGCGAATGCCATTTTTAGGTATTCATTGGCTTGTTTATACTGATGTTCAGAGACTGATGTAAATTGTGCAGAGCCAAGTGAGGGACAAAACAAATGTAAGAAGCAAAATAATTATTAGAAGTTTTAATGACACGTGACATACCCTGCCTTAACACTTGATGTGCTTGATAACAGTGTGAATATGTAATTATTAATACCCACATTTTTATGGCTTAAATAATAATACAACCAATTTCTGTTATTTCCTGCATGGCTTTGCTAGTCTCTAGTATCATTCCACATTTTTCCTTCTCTTATAATAAGATAATTTATGCTTATTTTTATAATAAAAACAATATTTTGTGTATTTATTTTTATCTGTTATTCCCTGCATAGCTTTACTAGTCTCTAGAATCATTCCACCTTTTTTCTTCTTTTACAATAAAATAGTTTAAACTTAAAACAATACAAAAACAATAGTCTGTTTGTTTTTATTTAATTTAATTTATTTAATTTACTTACTTTTATCAGTTATTTCCTACATAGCTTTGCCAGTCTCTAGAATCATTCTACCTTTTTTTCTTCTCTTAGAATACAATTTTAACTTATTTAAACAAAACAATAGTTTGTTTGTTTTATTTTTTGTTATGATCTAATTATATCTGTTATTTACATAAGCCATATTTTTTTCTTCTCTTACAATAATATAATTTAAAATTAATTTGTTTTAAATAAACAAAATAGTTTGTTTGTTTACCTATGTATTTTAGCTGTTATTTTTATTTATATCTATTGGTTGTTTATTTATATCTATATTTATATCAATCTGTTTCTTTATATTCATCTGTTATTTATATAGCCGTCTTTATTTATTTAATTATTTATTTCTGCAAAATCAGTCATTCTTATAATAAACCCGTTCGAGATGACAGCCTGATTGTGATCTCCGTTTATTTTCTGATGATGACCTGCTTGAATGTACAATATCACTTATTTACTGTGTCATGTATTATTTATAACGTGGACACATTTTTAATTTGGCTTCGGATGAGAATCTTGTTGCGGTGTGTTGCTGTCGGCCGTCTCAGTCTTCACGTTTGCTTTGCTCCAAAGGTAAGATGTCAGACGCCCGCGCCGTGCGCAAACAACAACAGCTCAACAACCTGGTTGCCATGGTGACGGAGCTGGCCCACCCCGGGCACACAGTGGTGGATTTCTGCAGCGGGGGGGTAAGTTGCCTTCTGACATTTTAAAAACGTCTTGGACTTTTTTCTGTTTTCTTACGAGAGTCTGTATGTGTGTCAGTAAGCATCTGTTCTCCTCCCTTGTCACCTCATGTAAACTTTGGGAGTGCTCTTGTTATTCTGTGCATACATTTAAGCCCTGATGTTACAGCCTGTGAGCAACAGGTCAATATTCTGATGGGTGTCTGTGTTCTCGTGAGTCGACTTTGATCTGATGAGCTCTTTGAGCTCTGTTTCTCCAAGATCTTTTGCAGCTTTCTCTTTCTTTGTTTTCTTAGGGGCACGTTGGGATTGTTTTGGCATACACGCTTCCTAAATGTCAGGTAAGACTTTCTGATTTGTTCAAGTGTAGCAAGTTCAAGTTAAAGGAGTCAAAGAAGAGAAACTCTTTCCCAAGTGACCTCATTTGTTGACTCTGGAAAAATAAACTGATTCCACTCTGTTATGTTTTTTTCCCACAAGACCTTTTTGCGAAAATTGTACTTTAACCAGAGCGAATAGGAAAATCAAGTCGGTACTTACTCTGCATTAGAATACTCTTTGAGCGCTAATACACTTTTGATGGTTCAGTGGATTATTAGGTAGTCATTTAGATGTACTTCATTTTCTCTGCTGATTTTCTTTCCTTTTGATAAAATGGCTTTTCAAAGAAGATTAGTTTGGGGATCAACAAGCAGCTTGGCAATGAACCAGTAAACTGTAAGAGGTATTATATGCGGCATGGTGAAATATCCCTTTTTTTTGTTATCGATCAGGTTATTCTCATTGAAAATAAAGAGGAGTCACTGGTCAGGGCCAGAGACCGAAGCGCTCAGCTTGGACTGACAAACATCGGCTTCGTCCAGGCAAATCTTGACTATTTCACTGGAAACTTCAACATTGGGGTAAGTGCTGCCTTATATTATACATATGCATGATATTTGTCTGTGAAGTGTTAGACAGATATTTCAGCAAGTATGTTAAATATATTTACAGACGTTGTTGTTTACGGTGCATAATTATAATACTCAAAAGTTCTCGCTATGATAATGCTAACAGATTTAGGTGGCATTTTTATTCCTCAGTTATTATTGTTTTTTTTTTGTTTTTTTTGTAGGAAATGGTTTCTAATTCATCCAGCATTTGTCCTATTTGTGCTACTGTGATTGTTTGATTTAATCAACGTTGGTAGCACGATTTATTGTAAAACGTTTTTTTTTTTTCTTTTCAATTGGTCAGAACAAAACTGGCAGCCATGTTGCTTGTTCAGATAAAATTTTCCGGTGAAAATTCTTATTTTGGAAATACTTCCAAGATGTAGTATCTGTAATTGCGAAGTACAGTGAACTGGTGCATTGACTGACAAGCCCACACATAGACCTCAAAACATTAGATTCATCCGTGCTGAGGAGCCGTGCCAATGCTCAACCCACGTAAAGAAGATAATTCCACAAATAACTGCAATTACAGGTTTCAAACAGAGATTTACATTTAGTCATTTAGCAGATGCTTTTATCCAAAGCAACTTACAAATGAGGACGGAAACTAGCACAATCATAAAAAAAGAACATGCAAGATTTATATCGAACAGTCACCAAAAACAAATTTGTCAAAATTGCCTTCCTAGGTTGATCGTTTTTTTTTTCTTTCCCTCACACATTTTCCTATGTGGAGGTGAAATATTCCTTGACTTACATCAGCAATAAGTGATAAAAGTGTAATTAGACTATTTTAGCACCTGTGCAAGCGATAGGACATTTTTTTGATCACATTAAGTTGTTAAACATTAAATATCTTCTGGTTTATAACATCACACAGCAGTGGATAGAGAAAGTGCTTATCTCTATATTCTTGAAAAATCTGAAAATATCAGGGACATTTTAAAATTGTGGTTTACAGGCTTGAAAATAACACTGATATATATATATATATATATATTTTTTTTTTTTAAGTTTTGTTTCGCTTTTATTTTGAATGTTTGACATGCTGAATACGAAAATTACATTACTTTTTGTGTATCATTAGCAGTGCTCATGCAAACTAAAAAAATGCGTTGACAAATTATACAAGCTAATCTGTTATTACTCATGCATAACAATTGCATGGTACATGCATAATACCGAGCTTACATCAGTTTAACATTAACATAAACGGTTACCAAAGTGAGTCGTCCAAAACTTCAGAAGAGTAGAATGGATGAATTTTGTCTTTTATGACTAGTCAAGCACTAGAATATTACAAAATGTTCCGGAAAGTTACAGAAACTTTGAGAATGTTACCATCCTTGCAAAAGTAGTATATCTTAAAAAATGCTAAATTAGTAAAAAAAAAAAAAAAAAAAACTAATCTGTTCTAAACCAATGTTTCATAATTAAAGATACCTAAATATTTACCAATATATTGAAATTGAAAATAAATAATACAAATAAAAATTAGCCCCACAGAATTACCAAAACCGTAATAAAATAAAATTGTGAAAGAAATTTTGGTTACATTGTGTAATTAGTCATTGAACTAGTTTACAAATCAGTCTAAATTTAAATAATTCATTGGTGAATATGTATGAATTTTAATGATTTTTATAAAAATCTTATACAGCAAATACAAGTGACAGGAAACATGGAAAAGTATTCAGATAGAAAAGATTGTTGACGTGTATGGGTTGAGTTTAAAGATTCATTCCACCATCGAGGAACAGTTAATATGAAAGATCTTGAAAGTGATTGTGTACTGTGCTGGTAATATAAGACAGATTGCCTTGCTGTTTAGAGACGACAGAGGTCTTTTAAGGCTTTGAATTTGAATTTTACCCTGAGTTTCTAAACTATTATCTTGCATAACTCCCATTTCATTAGCATTAATGATTAAAAGGCTTTGCTTGCTAAAGCAGCACAGCCAGAACTGTATGTAAACAGATACATATTGTTTCCCAGAGGGTTAGATACGTGAAAATAGCTACTATTCCTTTTTTTAAGACAGTCTATAATAAGGCTTGTAGCTACACCAGGGGAAAAAATGACTAAACGGGGATAATGATGTGAAAAGAGAAGTTATGGGCTGTTTGCTCAGACTTGATTTGTTGTACCTGTTGAATGATGGTGAAACAAGCACACTGCTGTGTTCTGTGGCTATGAATAATGAACTTGCATTGTAGTCGTGAAGCTGCGCCTTCCGCACCTCAGGCAAACTACTTAATTATAAAGACAGAAAAGTTTTTAACCCCCGTTGAAGGGAAGAAAAAGAAATATCATCAGCAAAAATGAAGTCCTGCTCCAAAAAAAGAAAGAAGAAAAAAACCCTAATTAAGAAATATGCTTTTGCAGCATGCTTTATTATTTTGCCATCCAGTGCCGAATAAATTATACAAGGAAAAACAAGCATTGAGGCTGACGTTAAACTCTTTGTCAATGTCGTTATATTTTCAAAGCTTTAATCATTTATTTTGTTAGCAGGATCCTTCAGTACAAGAGACCTCACAAAACTAATGCGAATTCCACTTTATTTGCTTGCAAAGGAAAAACAAACTTGAGCTTCTTTCCCATGCTAAACAACATTCATCTGATCTCTTTGGAGACAGCCCACAAGCTTTGTCTCATTATGACTGTAAATTCATTCTAGAGACGGAGCATCCGAAATTTCCAAAGAAGGACTTGGAATGACTGTGATGTGTTTTTCAACCTCTTTCCATTATTAATAAACAATATTTTAAAGTTCTTTTCTATTGACCTGTTCTCACTAAAAAAAAATTTTTTTTTTTTTTTTTTACATTTTATTTCTTTATTGATTTTTGGTTTGGTTTGGAATTTTTTTTTATATGCTTTGGTTTCTGTTTTCCTTTTTTATGGTTTTGGTTTGTTTTTTGCTTTGATAGGAGAACAGTTCATTTTGTGCACAAGAAACATAAAAGCCTATTTTAAAGTTATTTTCCATTGACCTGTTCTCACTAAAAAAATTTGGATTTTTTTTTTTACATTTTATTTCTTTATTGATTTTTGGTTTGGAATTTTTTTTATATGCTTTGGTTTCTGTTTTCCTTTTTTATGGTTTTGGTTTGTTTTTTGCTTTGATAGGAGAACAGTTCATTTTGTGCACAAGAAACATAAAAGCCAACAGTAATCATGCAGATCAAAAAGACATGATAATGTGTTTTAGATATATTTATACTTTATTGCAAAGCTCTATATTATTACTGTCAGTACACTGTGATTGTGTTAGTTATTATATCTCCTATTCCTTTATCATCCTATCACTATATAGCTACATAGAAGTCATGTATTTGATCAGATCTTGTATTTTGTGTTAAAGTGAGTAATATCTTTTCTCAGTTGTGCTATATCTTGCATTAAAGCATTTGCCAGAATACTTTTTAATTTTGCCTTTGGTGTGAATAGCCTTGTCTGAAAAAGGCCTTATTCCTGTACTTTGTACCTGAAGTCGTACACTAGTTGTGCATTGATTTACTCTTTAAAGTCTCTTGTCCATCATTGTAGAATCTGTAGTCTTGTTACATTAACTTCAGAAATTCACCTGCCAACGTCTTCAAAGCTCCAGGTTTTCACGCTCGATTTTGCTTGTTGTGGTGATGCGGTGCTCTGTTGTTGGCTTCTGACGTGAATGGATGGCCCCATTATGAGATGGTGGTCTACTTCAAAGAGCCGAAACCCTGCGTTAATGGATTCTGATCAGTACATAAGGGTGGCCCTTGAATACTCAAACACCTGCCCGGGGTTTTTGAGAATGGCTTTATTCCAGATCCTGTTGAAAAGACATTATGAATCATTTCTGTCTAATTAGCGTCTCAAGAACTTAATTACAATCCGCACTGGACACTTTGCCAATATTTCTTTTTCCTCATTTATTCCGTCTCGGCTTATAAAATGTCAGCTAGGGCTGTGTGTTTTCCCACACGGAGTTCACGGACATATTTCCTCCTCTATGGCAACTCCAAGCGGCATGTAAAGCGAATCCTCTGAGATTTGGCCACGTTTCCCGGAAAACTTCTTACGGGGGATTTGAAGGGTGTTAATCCGTGGATTTGGTCGGCTGTGCGCGCACACGCTCACTGAGACAACAGTTTGCATTATTTGTTCCAGTCTCTCACCTTAACAGTGATGGATATAGGCACTGGTCCGTGAGCCAAGCCGAACGCTTGATCTTCACTTGAGCTTCTGTGACGACATCTAAGACTTTTCTTTACCTTCCATCAAGCTGTTCGATCCACTTTTTCTGCTAATAGGCAGAGAGACATCTGCTGTCATGCGGTGTCACAGTGGTGGGGTATGACTGCCGCGCTCTCTCTCTCGCTCTCTGTGCCTAAACCACTAACAGATCAATGAGAACACAGCTAGATACAGAAAGGTGGGAAGAGCTTTGAGATGTGTGGAAATGTGGTCAAGGACAGGCAGAAAGCAGTGTGAAGAGTTTAAGCTCTATATTATTACTGTCAGTACACTGTGATTGTGTTAGTTATTATATCTCCTATTCCTTTATCATCCTATCACTATATAGCTACATAGAAGTCATGTATTTTATCAGATCTTGTATTTGTGTTAAAGTGAGTAATATCTTTTCTCAGTTGTGCTATATCTTGCATTAAAGCATTTGCCAGAATACTTTTTCATTTTGCCTTTGGTGTGAATAGCCTTGTCTGAAAAAGGCCTTATTCCTGTACTTTGTACCTGAAGTCGTACACTAGTTGTGCATTGATTTACTCTTTAAAGTCTCTTGTCCATCATTGTAGAATCTGTAGTTTTGTTGCATTAACTTCAGAAATTCACCTTCCAACGTCTTCAAAGCTCCAGGTTTTCACGCTCGATTTTGCTTGTTGTGGTGATGCGGTGCTCTGTTGTTGGCTTCTGACGTGAATGGATGGCCCCATTATGAGATGGTGGTCTACTTCAAAGAGCCGAAACCCTGCGTTAATGGATTCTGATCAGTACATAAGGGTGGCCCTTGAATACTCAAACACCTGCCCGGGGTTTTTGAGAATGGCTTTATTCCAGATCCTGTTGAAAAGACATTATGAATCATTTCTGTCTAATTAGCGTCTCAAGAACTTAATTACAATCCGCACTGGACACTTTGCCAATATTTCTTTTTCCTCATTTATTCCGTCTCGGCTTATAAAATGTCAGCTAGGGCTGTGTGTTTTCCCACACGGAGTTCACGGACATATTTCCTCCTCTATGGCAACTCCAAGCGGCATGTAAAGCGAATCCTCTGAGATTTGGCCACGTTTCCCGGAAAACTTCTTATGGGGGATTTGAAGGGTGTTAATCCGTGGATTTGGTCGGCTGTGCATTTTTCCTCATTTATTCCATCTCGGCTTAGAAAAAAGTCAGCTAGGGCTGTGTGTTTTCCCACACGGAGTTCACGGACATATTTCCTCCTCTATGGCAACTCCAAGCGGCATGTAAAGCGAATCCTCTGAGATTTGGCCACGTTTCCCGGAAAACTTCTTACGGGGGATTTGAAGGGTGTTAATCCGTGGATTTGGTCGGCTGTGCGCGCACACGCTCACTGAGACAACAGTTTGCATTATTTGTTCCAGTCTCTCACCTTAACAGTGATGGATATAGGCACTGGTCCGTGAGCCAAGCCGAACGCTTGATCTTCACTTGAGCTTCTGTGACGACATCTAAGACTTTTCTTTACCTTCCATCAAGCTGTTCGATCCACTTTTTCTGCTAATAGGCAGAGAGACATCTGCTGTCATGCGGTGTCACAGTGGTGGGGTATGACTGCCGCGCTCTCTCTCTCGCTCTCTGTGCCTAAACCACTAACAGATCAATGAGAACACAGCTAGATACAGAAAGGTGGGAAGAGCTTTGAGATGTGTGGAAATGTGGTCAAGGACAGGCAGAAAGCAGTGTGAAGAGTTTAATCTGGTTGTCATGCATTGATTTGCACCACCCTGAACACTGGAAAATAGTCTGATACACGCATTTATAATGATATAACAAATTTTATTTTACTTTTATTTATTATGCTTTAGGTACAGCAACCCTACTGGTTAAAAATCTCCTCTTAAGTGTTTCATCCTTTTAATTAGACCTGTAAGCCTTCCCACTTTGGTTATACCTTGACATATTTTGACACAAATCTGAAAATTAATTTAATTACGAAAATGAAAAAAAAAAAATGTTTTCATACAAGTCATGTATTCAAGTCATTGTCTGTATATATTACATTTTTAATGCATGTTTCAGTAAATTAATTTGATTCAATTCAAGTTGATTTCATAACAGTTCAAAAGTTTGGGTCAGAAAGATTATTTTTTGAAGAAGAAATTAAGACATGAATGCAGAGATGCATTAAATTGATCAAAAGCGACATTTATAATATTACAAAAAAAGTTTCCATTTCAAATAAATGTTGTTCTTTTGAACTTTCTGTTCATCAAAAACATATGAAAAACAATTATCACGCATTCCACAAAATTATTAGGCAGCACAACAGTTTTCACAAAGTTTTTTCCAGCTGTTTTGAGCACTAAATCAGCATATGAGAATGATTTGAGAAGGATAATGTGAGACTGAAAGCTTGAGTAATGATGCTGAAAATTCAGCTTTGTATCACAGGAATAAATTACATTTTATAATATATATTCTAAAAAAATGTATTTTTAATATTACAATTTAAAATTCTATTTTAAATTGTAATATTACTTTGCACTATTATCGTTGTTATACTATATTTTTGGTCAAATAAAAGCCGTGGTGAGAATAAGAGACAACTTTCAAAAACATTTGAAAAATCTTCCCGAAAAAAAAAGACATGAACCCTTTTATCCAAAAGTGACGCATTATTTTCTTGCTCAATTGTGGTTGGTTGGTTGGTTACCAATTTTTGGTTAAGAACCAATGTCTTTAAGCAGTGTCTATTTTTTATTTATTTTTTTCCCAGGTGGCCCTGCATGCGTGCGGAGTGGCGACAGACATGGTGTTGGATCGCTGCCTCCAGGCGCGGGCGGGATTTGTGATTAGTCCGTGCTGCTATGGGTTCATTCAAAACACACTCAAGTTCAACTTTCCCAAGAGGTGAAAACTATGTCTCTTCTGTCTCTCTGACTTTTCTTTTTTGCTATCTTTCTTTTCATTTGTTCGCCTGATTCCACAGTACACAACGATAGTGTAGATCTATAATAATCCACGGTATTAAATGTTAAGCTCTGCATACTCTTGGGAAAAAATACTGACGGGAATGAATGATGACGATCAAAAAGAGCTCACCATAATAGGTAACCATAATAAACATTCGTTATTGCGTCTATTTCTGTCTTTCTCTTCACATCAACGTTCAGAATTGAATGTCCTGCATCAACAATCACACAGCTGAGTCTCATCATTCTCACATTTAATGTTGGCAAGAACATCTACAAAAGAGAGAGAGTGATTTAAAGTTTCCTAACAGTGAGAATTGCTTTCGAGCAGTCGTCAGTTTTTCCGCCAATCGCAAGCTATCATTCTCCAAATCTGGCGTAAACTTTCATTTAATCTCAGGCAGGAATTTTGCCGCAGGGCATGAGCATCTGGGTGGCAAGAGCAGCGAGTGCAGGAAATTATTTTTCCGTGGTTGTGTTCACGGTGTTGCCATGACAGTGATTTGTCATTTGTGGCATTCGACAGTAGACCAGCAAGGGCGACCTGATGACAGACAGTCAATGTTCCAAACATTACCTACCACACACATAATCTCCAAGAGTTTCGGAGCTCTTCTTTATCATGCAAGTGTTACATGAGACATCCTGCTGTGTTTACACACGGTTTATTTCTGCAACCAAACCACTGCATGCATTTGTTTTTTTGTGTTTTTTTGTCCGTAGAGAATGTTTTCAGCGTCTCCTTTGATCCGAATAGACTGTCCTCTCCTTAAACGTGTTTTTTTTTTCTTTAACGTGTCATGTCATTTTTCATTCGCGCCTCAGTGTGTGTGTTCATTAAGTCTGCCCCCCTCTGTCTCTCTCCACAGCGCGAGGTTTACAGAGACTCTGAGCTATAAGGTAAGTGTTTCACCGCTCGCTTTCACTCTTTTCATTATCGTCTACACGTGTGGGACATCACACTGCCTGATTCTGAGGGCAAGACTCTTCTGAGAAAACTCCACAGGAGAGCCTCATAATGTGCCTCATGTATGTGAAGAGCAGTGTTTAGTCATGTTCAGCTCATGACTGAGAAGAGGTCATGACACTGTAATTGGAATGAGTCTTATTAGCCTGACACTAGAATCAGATGTTTAGACCTTGTTTTTCCACTTTGCTCTTGAGACCTGGCATAGAAAATAAATGACTTAATGTTAATATACTATATATCAGTTGTTATTTTAGTACTATTTATTTACTATTATACTGTAGTGTTTATTAAATGTTGAATTGGCTTATATATATATATATATATATATATATATATATATTATTATTTTTTATATATATATATTTGATTACTTTTGTACTTCTGCTTAATTTTTTTTCTACTTTCATAACATATATTTCAGTTAGTTGCCAAGGAAACATGGCTTATTTTTCATCTAATATTATGTTTAATTTTTTATTTTTTTCAAAAATAATAAAAACATTTATTGAAGAAACTATTTACATGATGTTCAGTTCTTTTAATAGTTCTTGAGCATGGATAGAAAGTTTGAAGTAGAAGTTAGAAATTCTGAGTAGTGAATCTGCAGTCTGCATTCAATTTTAGATAAAAAAAAAATACTACAGCATGTTAAATACTATAAATAAAATACTAAGACCATAAACTCGCAACAAATACAGTGCCACTGGAGTCATAGATTAGTCAGTCACAAATTAAATGTAGCAAAAACTAAATAAATCGTTATTGAATCACTGAGTTGGAAAATGTTCAATTCTTTATGATTCTCTGTTCTAGTAAGAGAGGATTTTTTTTTTTTTATAATAGAGAAAGCCATATAGATTGCCATATAAAATATCGACCAGTGTCTATTGGCATAAAAATTAGGTAACACTTTAGATTAGGGAACATATATTCACTATTAAGGGTTGTCCCTAAATAAACTCTTCATTTGCTGCTTATTGATAATAAGTTAGTTGTTGTAGTAGTTGTGTTTAGGTATTGGGTAGGTTTAAGGGATCTAAAATATGGTCATGCAGAATAAGGTATTAATGTGTGCTTTGTAAGTACTTATAAACAGCCAATTTGCTAGAAATATGCATGCTAATAAGCAGCTAGTTAATAGTGAATTGTTCCCTAATCTAAACTACCAAAAATGATAGTTTCAGCCCAAATTTCTGTACCAGTACATCTCTAAATAAACAGCCAATTTGCTAGAAATATGCATGCTAATAAGCAGCTAGTTAATAGTGAATTGTTCCCTAATCTAAACTGTTACCAAAAATGATAGTTTCAGCCCAAATTTCTGTACCAGTACATCTCTAGTCATAACTATAGAGGACAAAATAGAAGCAGAGATGAATCTCCTTCAGCTCTTTGCTCTCACAACCAACTTTGTGAAAATGTTACTGTACAAGAAGTACCATAAGCCAGTGTTTTTCCTTCTCTTCAAGCTCTGCTGAAATAGGGTATTCCTGGGAATAGTGTGGCCATGTAGCCTACTGTAGTTGCATGTTGTATTTTTCCCAGTCTTATCCCCAGGCGCTGACGGCACAGTGAGGCAGAAGTGTGAGTAATGGATGAGGTTAATCAGTCGTATCTCACGGTCATCAGTGTTCGCTTGACTCCTGCATCTGCCTCTCTCACACTACGCTCACGGCCCCTGCCAAGATATCACCTACATAGGGGCCTACAAGAGACAGGCAGCTCCCCGAGCGTAAATCTAGAGCAAACAGATGTTAAATTAGTGGTGTTTACCAAAACAAACATCACTTTTGCTATTACTATTGGAATTTGAACAAACTGAATTATGAATTAAACTGTTAGGACTTGTTGAGGATACTGTGTGATATTACTTTCCTAAGCTATTACAGACGTAGCAAACCTGGCAACCACCCTTAACACCGTTGCAACTTTGGCACAGCTAAATATCACTCAAAATTTGATCTCTACACAGTTTAGATGCATATACTTTTCTTTAATTTGCAAGAAATCAACTGGTTTGTTAAATCTGACTGGATTGTTCATTGCATACTATTACATACAGTGATTGCACTGATAAAATGATTTCAGTGCATTGAAATTCCCTACAGAAAAATCTATATTATTTTAGTTGTTAGGATTTGATTTTGATTAGTTCAAAATGAAAATAAAAAGACAGATTCCCTGCGTTTCTTTCCAAACTAGCATAATCGATGCAATGTTTCTCATCGGTACGAATACTAAACATGCTCTAGAAACACTTTACTGTGTTAAAGCCTGTTTTTGAGATGTTGTATCGAGTTATAGCATTGATCGCAGCTATTAGCCTAGAGGATTAAACTTGATAGGAGGAATCAATCTGCCAGGGCTGATACATTCCTTTCCATCAGCACTTGTTTCACTCGGTTAATGCATAATAATGGTTGCTTGAAGCCATCGTTGGTCATCAACAGCCGAGGAAGTCATTTTGCGGCACTTCCTTGCAACGTTCCCTGCAAAAAATGCAATTAGATTATATTGATTAATACAAAATGAGCTGGGTGCTGCTTTCCTCTGAGTTTCCCTTTAATGGCTGGTTGTAATGGATGATAAATGGTCTGTTATTTCACCACAACCCTAACAATCTGATGCATCGATATTTCTCTGCAATTTACTCTAGCTCCACACGCATGCTGTTTATCAGATATTTTTGTTTGTGTATGTTTATGTGCAAGTGTGTTTATTGACGTGTCTGCATGTGTTCGGTATGCTATATTGTTTCCACAGGAGCACATGGTCCTGTGCAGGTTTGCAGACCAGACGGCTGTCAGTTTACCCCCAGAACGACGATTAATCGGTAAGATGTGTAGTTTTTTAACAGGTGGTCAGAGTTGTTGTGCCTGTTTTACTTTAGGAGAGCAAATTCCTAATAGAGATCGTCCATATGGCTAAAATTTTTAGGCCAGAATAAGCTGCAGTGTTGACTATTATCATTAACTAAAATGGAAACTAAAACCATGAAAAATGTAGATATTTTTTGTTATTTGAAATAAAATAAACATTAACTGAAAATAATATATATTTGTGTGTGTACATATACAGTGGGTACGGAAAATATTCAGACCCCCTTCAATTTTTATTTCAGGTAGTTGCCAAGGAATCATTTCTCATTTTAGTTTAACTTGAAGTATTAAAATAACAAATATTTAAAATTTAAAAACTGTTTAGAAATAAAAATGACAAACCCACAACAAAATAACTAAAACTATAACTAAAATTAAACGTGTCGGTATATAATATTGACAGCTAGTGGTTGAAATGGGTGTTGAACTGCAGTCCAAATTCAAAATATTAGTTGTTTCTCTCTCCCCCTCAGACTTGACGCTCAAACGGGTTGCCAGATTGAAGACACACAATGGGAATGAGTGCAACTGACAATGGAAGTTGATGAGTTGATTTATCCGCGTTTTAATGTGCCTTTGCTCAAAGAGCTTTTTCGATGGATACCGAGGCTTTTTAGGTTGGGTAGAATCTGCGATCTCTGACAACGTTCGTTTGATGGCTTCCATGGCTGCAATACTCTGTGTTTTCCACCAACTGGCAACCTGGGGGGTCGAAATACTATTAAACTGGCAGTGGGCAGAATCACACAGACCAAAACAAAAACAGACATTCCGACACGGAACACAAATTTCAAACTAGAATAACTGGCTGTAGCATTGTTTTTCAGAGAAACACATTTTTGAACTTGGCAACTTGCAAAAAAAAAAATGTTACATTCTGCACCTTTAAAATGAAAATTATAAAAAATAAAAAATAATTCAAAATATTAATAAAAACTAAAATAGTTATATCAGTAATACTAAAATAACACCGTTCAGAACACTGTTTTTTTATACCAAAGACGAGTATAATGGTTCAGTGTACACATTTGACACAAAATACTAGTTGATAAATTGCAGCATGGTTAATTGTTTGCACTTCCATTGGACATTTAAAAATCTTTGTAAATGTTTCTCTGGAGCACTTGTTAGGTTACCAATAAACCCTTAAAAAGCGTTTCAGTTTAGTATAAATGGTGAATCTCTAACAATGTATAAAACACTGTAGCGAGATCAGACACATCTCTCCGCTCGGTGACCTCCCTCTCTCCATCAAATTTCTCACTACACGTATTCAGCTTAACAGTCTCATTGCACACTCGCATAAATCTGACGCCACTGTCATCTTTCCTCTCAGCCTCTTCACAAAACACATGCTAACCAGCGCCGGTGCCTCTGACGTGTCATTCAAAGCTGAGACTTTCCAAAGGCTTTCAGAGCTAGATATCTGTGAGTTTAGATGAGCTAATAATTACAAACTGATAATATGATAAAGTTTGTCTTTGTGTTTTCAAAAGGCACTGCTTTAAGTTTTACTGTTTTATCCCTGAGATAACAGAGTAGCTGTAAAGAAATGTCAATTTGTAAATTTGAAAGACCTTTCTATTCATCAAATAATCCTAAAAAAAAGTATCATGGTTTCTATAAATGTATTAAGAAGCACAACTGTTTTTAACATTGATAATAATAGTAATATTTCCTTCGCATCAAATCAGTATATTAGAATAATTTCTGAAGGATCATGTGACACTTAAGACTGGAGGAATTATGCTGAATTCAGCTTTGCATCACAGGAATAAATTACCTTTTCAAATAAATATTTAAAATAGAAAAAAGTTATTTTAAATTGTAATAATATTTCACAATATTACTTTTTACTGCATTTATGATCTAATAAATGCAGCCTTGGTAAACATTTTAAAATCTTTCAAAAACATAAAAAATATTACCAACCGTAAACTTTTGCAAATTCGTGTAAGCCCAGAAAATTTTGCAAGGATGCCAGAAATATCTTGTTCATCCACTTTGAAGAATAGAACTTTAAGGAAAATTTAGACCACTTTTACAGCTAATTTAACACATATTTGTACTAACTGCTTAATATAAGCACGTTATTAAAAATGTGAGCTACACATTTATGCTTTTGCACCCTTTGGAGTATCATTGTAAATTATAACACATATTTGTTTTTGTTTTTTTTGCATATTCAAGGTTAAAATGTCTGTGGTAAACCCAGAGCATTAATTTATTTCATTGACTGATAATAGAACTCTTTAAAAAAAAAAAAAAAACTAGTTAGAAAGTACATTTAGGTTTCAGTAAAATTCAGCTTTTTCATGACCATAATTAACAGTGCAACAGCTGAGTAATGTCTTCAGCATAGATTTCTGGCCTGTTCTCAATAAAGATAATGTCTCATAATTCGTCTCATTTCCAAATCTCATTTCCTTAATCACCAGGGAAGCGCTGTATGGGACTGGTGGACTTGGACCGCAGTTGGGCCGCCGAGACTCATGGGTATTCTGTGAGGGTGATGACTATGGTCCCCGAGGGCTGCTCGCCTAAGAACAATATGTTGGTGGGGATACCGACAAGATAACACTGACTCATGAGTTCGCTGTTTTTTGTATATTCCATGAGATGCTTGATGTTACTTCTTGAGTTTTTACTTTGGACAATTTATATTTGTAAGCATTTCATTTTAAGTGATAGTTCACCCAAATATTAACATTTTCCAGTCATTCTGATCTCCTTTGTTTTTGTGAAACAAAAATGTTAGTCACTCTTTTCAATACAATGGTATGATGACAAGATTTTAATTTTGGGGTGAACTATTCCTTAATTTTTTTTCCTTTGATCCAAAAGCATTGATTGCATGGATCAATGTATTTGCACATACACACTTGAATCATGGTTTGATCTAATTGTGCAATCAGTATATTTGTTTTTTGATTCAGATTTTTAAAAGGCTTTTAAACTTGACTTCATCTTAACAATTAGAGGGATTTTTATTTCAGTAACGTCTTGATTTACATGCCAGGGGTTTGTTTATAAAAAGAGTCAAAAAACCAGCATGCCCCTCAATAAATTAAACATGATTTCAAATGCCGTTTGCAAATCAGACACTTTGAGTTGTGTAAAAGCACCTTACACCCTTTCCTCCACCATTATCGTGTATTATGCACAAAACAAAGGAGTCTCAAAAGCCTGCTTTTCTCAAGTTATTACTCATTTAAAATTATTCATTGTAATTTGCTCTTTTCCCTCACAAGAAAGCAGAGACGTGGCTCTTGAGCTTTTGTCTCAGTGTTTGATTAAAAGTATTGAAAGTAAACATGAGGAGGTATCTATCGCGATTCCCTTGTGTCAGGGGCGGGAGAATTGGAGGGGTTAATATTTATGAAATGGTGCGTGGATTAATCTGACCACGGTTATGAATATTTGATTAGGCCACGGCTCACACAAATGTCAAAGTCATGTCATTGGTCTACAGCGTACGCTGATATATGAACTGTTCCTCCAGCTTTACTTTGCTGTGTTTGGACCCATGCTGGCATCAAACTCTCCTCCGGTTTGCTCACTACAGAAGAGCCACGGACTGTCATGTTTGTGATATAGAGATGAGATCTGTTCCTCCGCTATGAGGAAGTGCACAACCTTTAAGCTTTGAGGAGACAAGCTAGCAAAGCTCATCTGAATTCTGCTAGCAGAGCCAATCTCGCTGAGTGTGAAAGACCGGAGACGGGGGCACCTTCCAAAGAGCTGGAATCATTTCAATGGGAAACTTTGCTTTTCTCAAGGATTGGCTCTGGGCCCTGACTACATGAAAAACAAATACATACAGTATAGGATAGAATGAGGCTAGATACAACTGCATTACTGTAATACTGGCATAAAGATACCGGAAGGTTGCTTCTTTTGTCTTTTTCAATGTCAGCAGAATTGCTGATTGTCAAAATACAAAATATGATGCAATATGCCAAAAATCTGACAGTGCCACATGCGCAATGCTTGAAAACAGGCCATGTGAAGCCCATACTGACGGCAAAAGTGTCGGTGTATGTAGAATTTTGGTGTTGAGGTTTTTTTTTTTTACACATAAAACATGTTGAAAATACTAATCAACAATCTTTTGCAGTACAGGCCTTTATGAAGGAGTATAATATAATGAAGTGAACTACTCGCTCATTGAATGAAAAAGACATCAATTGGACGTGATGCAAAGTAAATCTGTCTGAATTTAGACCGTTTGGGTTTTGGTTCCTTTCCCATTGGATTAATTGCAATTTGGATGTATATACGGTCCTTTTCTGTATGCAAATTTTAATAATTCCCAGCAACCATTTGATATTTTATGGCATTTATTGAAAAGAAATATTGAATGCAGTAACCCAGAAATCACTATTTTCTGTATAGAGCAGAGTTACACAACAGAAGCACTATGCCCAGTTACGCTGCTGCTTTGCTTAAGAACTGCATATGTGGGCGAAATGGTCCTTAAACTTTGGCGCACAACTCTTCCCATACCATTTGTGCAGTAGAAGTGAACTAAATGCATTAGTGCCCGAGAATGTGTATGAGAATGTCTAACTAAACAGTTGACATTAGCCGTTGACTTCCATAGTATGGGGAAAAAATACTGTGGAAGTCGTTGGCTACCGTCAACTCTACCAACATTCTTCAAAATATCTTTTGCGTTCAACAGAAGAAAGAAACTCGTGCAGGTAAATGATGATTTTGGCACAGTTTGCCCACCAACTGTCATTACAACTCTCTGATTGGTGGAAGTGTCTGTACAGCATCATGGGTAATGCAGTTTTTCATCATGAATTCAGCTTTTAAGCACGATTATTTTAAAAATAAGTTGAAATGATGTGAACGGATGGCTTCAACAAAAGCGTGTACCATTGAATAACAACCTTAGAATTTAAAGTAGGTCTATCTTTAGTTATTGTTTAAAAAAAAATTCTGCCTATGGAGAAAATTGAGTTTTTACTTCCGAAACCCAACTGTTTCAGTCCATAGCTCAAATCACTTACTTTTTGTGTTTTTTTTTTTTTTTCACAAGTGATCAGTCTTATGAATTTCATATAGCGGATGGAAAAAGTCCTTTAAGCTTGAGTTGAAAAAGGGGCCCCATGAGAATATCATATTTACTTGGGGTGGGCATTTGACTTGGATCATAAGCAACCACCTAGCAACCGCATAACAATGAGCTGAAATCCCACTCAACACCTTATCAACCATATAATGGTGTCCTGGCAAGCACCCACCCTAGCGAGATTTGCTTCCTGCATAAAATGTAAAAATTACATTTTTATATCTGCAGCTCTTCACATGCTTTCTACAATGCTAATTAAAATCTGCTTGTGTAGCCAAGAACCCAAGAGGTAGAAAAGATGCATCAAGAGTGCTTAAAGCGCTTCTCTGATGACAAGTACAGAGTGTGCTATTGCTTCCTTTACAATATCTACTGTTTCATCTCTACTTCTCAGACAGGAAAGTCAGTTTCTTCGGAAATATCAGAAGAGCAATGTGCAATTTCACTTATGGCAGGCTGCAAAATTCATGAGGAAATCAAGCCACAATCCACCTTAAATTCATCTGTGACAAAACCTAATCAGAAAGCGCGGCAGGCTCTCCAGTTCTGAAGAGGTTGAAAATGAGTTTTTCTCCAGTGTCACCATTCATAGAGGCTGTGGACGGATCTCCATGAATTTATAGTGACTGTGTCTTTTCTTAACATATCTTGAAATGTCACTCTGTAGTTCATGTTCACCTGGACTGAAAATACACATGAAGCACATTTCTCTTTGACAATGATGATAAACTTCGCAAGGCATTACGGATTTAAAGCTCTGTTATAATGCAGCATATTGGTATGTCAGTGGATGTAGCCATAATCATTGAATAGTTTTACATCTCTATTGAAAAATTACACAAAATACTGCTAAAGCAAAGGTTTAAAGGCTGTTTTATTTAAATATTTTTGATCTTTTTCTTTGCTTCATCAAAATTTAGGATTTTAAGAATGTATTATTTATAATTGTATATTTTATTTCGAAAATGTGAAATATGTTTTCCAATAATATGGCACTGGTATGTTTTCCATGTACTGGATCTTTGAACTTCTTCCTTCTTCGGTCTAAAGCACATCAACATATTTCACTTTCTTTGCACTTTTCATTTAGAACGGAAATGAACAGTCCTGCGTTACAGGACATATGCTGTGTTTTCTGTGCAGGAGTCTTCTGTTCAGTTTAGACAAAGTTGCCAAAACTGAGTATATTAATAGGAACGTATTATTTAAAAGCAAGCTGATTTTACAGTACCATATTCTAGTGCTAATGTACATTCACACCGCAGCTGAATGTAGACCAAATATGTCCCCCAGCTCTCATGTGAGAAAAATTGCATCAAATTTGACATTTTCAGATAGGACCTGGGCCACTTTTTATGTATGGAAATAAATAGGATGCATATCAAAATGTTGGCAATGTGGCATGTGTAAACATTCAGGTAAGAATTCATATTCATTTTTTGTCAGTTGAATTCTGCATTTGTCATAATAATGTTCTTGATTTACAGTGAATATGGGCAGTGCTGTGATGTCGAGGTTTTAGAGCTTAATATAAGGTGTGCTATATATCATTCATAATAGTAAATAGCATATGTATTATAATGAAATTACTATATGTATATATATATTTATATATATATAAAAACAGGCCGTTTACAGTTGCACTTTGAGTATCTCACAATACTCACTGCAATGTGAGCTGTTTCCTTGTCATTTTTCTGTAATGTAGCACCTTTGTTAAAGTGTAGAGCATGAATATGGTACTAGACTGCTTTGAGATGGGGCCAGATATAGATGTGGTCTGGCATATTGCATGTCTAAGTGATCACCCAATGAAATTGGAGTCGAAACATGAAAATGAGCCGTAACCCTGCACACGACTCCTTGAGACCTGAAACTCAAGTGATGAGTTAGGAGCATAAATCTTGCTTTCAGCAGTTTTACGTGACCAACGCAGGTGCCCCTCCTGTCTCCTCTCTGCAAATAAAAAAAAACTTTACCAGTGATTTCTTGTTAGCATCATACTGGACAAGTGACCTAAAACATATATTTAAAAAAAAATGGTTGTAGAATTGACCATTTTTACTCCGAAATTACTAGTAAATTTCACAAATAATAAACAGAATAGAAATGCAAGTAACACATTGAGTTTACATTGAATTAATCGTGTGTATATATACAGTATATGTATATATGTATGTACAAACCGCTTTTGTCACTTAAAACCGCTGCAATTTTATAAATCGTTTAATAATTAATAATAGTAACTATTATTTTATTTATACACCAACGCACACAAATACATATATAATACATGCATAAAGTAGCCTACCTCAAGTATCACAAACTTCATCCATCCTCAATAATATATATATATATTAATATTAAATAACATTATACAGTCATATTGAAATTGGATGATATTTAAAAAAATATTTGTATGACTTATTTTGACAATTTTTACTGGTAAATTTCACAAATAATTACAAAGAAACGGCACATACACAATTTAACATGTAAAAACGTTTTACTTCATAGAAAGGCCTACCTATGCATTTACAAGTACATCAAGTATCACCAACGTTACCATCAAAATAATATAAATGTATAATAGTATTTAGTATAACTAAATATATATTATGCAGTCATATTGACATTAGATGTTGCATATACACATATAATAAACTTGTAATTATATGGGAGTAATAGGGTATGTGGAATAAGCGCTCCCGTCTCTCCTTGTTGGGCGCAGTGCTCGTTCGCAGGGTGTGGGGAGAGAGAGAGACACAGAGGAGCGCACCGACTCCGCGCTCCAGTCCACGGCTCTCCAGCGGAGGAGCGCAGACAGACAAGCTGCCGGTCTTTCGTGCATGAACAGCAGCCTGCTCGACCCGCTTCAAAGCTTTGAATATTGACGGATCTAAACCTCACCATCATTCCCTTCCACACACAGGAGACCAGCGGCGACGTTTGGATACACGCACCGCACACTCAGCACCGCACCGCACACGCACGGGGATGTGGATCATAAAGTTCATGCTGGTTTGGACCTGCTGCTTCGGAGTGAGCGCGGACTTCGATGGCAGGTGAGACCTCAGTTAAACGGGTAGACGATTGAATCAATG